CCTGAGCAGACCCGTTCCCGTGCCCTGTGAGTTTGTCTTACGGCATCCATTGAGCCTTGTTGATTTGTCGATGCTGATTGTATATTGAGGACCAGGACACAGGGTCCCTTCGCTTGGTGTGGCCTTGTGCCAGGCTGGTCTCTGTGCTTCTCCCCGACGTGGGGCAGGGCTGGTGAGTCTCTCAGGAGAGAAGCGACCTTTGGGTTGGTCTCAGCTGGCATGGAGGGCCCCCGCTGGGCAGTGGGAGGCACTGTGACCTCTGACCCTGCATTTCCGGGAGCATCTCCCGTGAGCTTCCTGCTGCTCATCCTGACTCTGCCTCGGGTCATTCCTCTCCTGCCTTCCTGCTGGGTGATGGGGGGGGGGGGCCTGTGTGAGCGGGAGGAAGGGGGTGGGTGGGAGGGGGGAAGGCCTGGGCTGAGTCTGGCCCGGGGGCCGGGGACTCTCCCGGGCCCCCAGGCGGGAGCTTGACTTTGGGGGCTGGAGCCCAGGCTTACAGCTGCGGGTGGTGTGCTGCCAAGCCGCGTCAGAAATGGGGTCCCTCCCCCCAGGGCTGCCCACCCCCACCCGGTCCAGAGCCAGATTTCCCAGGAGGGCCAAAGCACTCCCAGAGCCCCCAGAGCCCCCAGAACCGAGCACTGCCCATGTTGGGGGGCCCTGCATCTTCCTCAGGAAGGTCAGCGTTCACCCCGGGACACGGTGAGGTGGCCGGAGCCTTCCGGGCCCCAGGAAGACCCTGAGTGGCCGCAGAGCCCGGCCAGGGGCCCAGGAAGGAACTGTGCGGCCGGGACGCCCCGGGGAAGCCGAGGCAGGGTTTGCACCGGGCGGGACCCAGTTGCAGCCAGATCTCGGCGGGCAGCGGGTCTGTCCACGGGGCGGGAGCCGTGTGCATGCTGCCCCCGCCCCAGGCCCGTGACCCTCCACGCTGGGAAATGACAAATGAGCAAAAATCAATTTGTAATCTGATTGGAGGTTTTTGATTTCCTCTGATGAGTTTAAATTTCATTAAAAGCAACCTTATTCCCACATAAAAGGAGCCCTTGAAGGGTAAAGCAGGGGATTGTCTCACCCAGCGGAAGGCGCCGGGCTCTTTTGTGTGATTTATTCAGCACCTTAATTGGGAGGCCAACCTGGGGTGTCCGCCGGCAGCTGCGGCCTTATCGGGCAGGATCGCGGGCAGCGGCCGCACAAGGACTCACATTCAAAACTCCTCCCCCCTCATATTGACACTTGAGTCATCAACAGCCCTTGTCACCGCGGGCGGGGCTGGGGACGGCAGGGGGTTGCCATCCACACGCTCTCCAGCCGCTCTTAATTGTATGTGTTCTCTGGAAAAATGATCAGCGAGCCTCTTGTCTTGATGAGAAATTGACATTTTTGGAGGAGCGGTGGGTGCCCGGCAGGAGATAAGGCGGGGCGCGCTGGAGGAGGGCCCCCCGCCCGGGCCCTCTCTATTGCTCTCGCAGACCCTCTTGATGAGTATGGATTCATGAGGTCTTTTTCAGCATTTGAACTATAAAAGGTTCAGAATGACACCACCCTTATAGACAAAAGATAACCTTGCCCTTTGAATATATTGATTCTTTATTAACTAGGCTGTTTAATGCAATGAAATGAGGCATTAGGCTGAAGCCACTTCAAGTGCTTTGAATAATCTTTAGAAGCTTGAAAGAACGGCGAAGCAGCATGACATTCGCGGGGCACATTTCAAGCACGTGCACCGCTGGCTTCTGATTCAAAACACAAACATGAGATCATTTCTCTGCCCGGGCGGGAGCCTGCAGCCGGCCTCGCCTCCCCACGCTGCGGCCGCCGGCCCCGGCGAAGGGAAGGGAAGGGGAGGGGAGGGGAGGGGAGGTGGATTTCGCGGGGGCCACAAGCCCCTTCCTGGGCGCCTGGAGAGGGGGCAGGAGGGGCCTTAGGGTCCCTGTGCGCCCGCTGTCCCTTTAAGGCAGGAAGAGGACACTCCCAGGAACCAACTCGATCAGTAGTGACAGAAGAAGGTATTCACACGTTTCTTGATGTTTTGAATAATTGTTTCCTGTTTTGCTCTGCAAAATGAGTCATTAAGATGACATTTGTGAGGACTAATTTGTATCACACTTGGCGCATGTGTTAAGGAGCCAGTGGGTGAGCGAGTGCTCTCGGGAGAGGCGGGGCCCACACGCAGCCCACCCAGGTGGCGCGGCTGGGAGGACACCCGGCACAGGTGCGCGGTGCCTGCTGGGCCCCTGCCAGCGTGATCTGTGGGCACGGGGACAGGGCTGGGGCGAGCCTCCGCCCCCTCTGCCTGCAAAGGAGAGGACGGGCCGGGGACAGGCGGGGACTGGGTTGCAGTAAGCCCCCCACCCCCACCGACCTCCCCCCCGATCGTTTCTGTGGCCTCTTGCCCCACTTGCTCACAGCTGGGCATCTGCGTTTGGGGATAACAGACGTGTGGGGGCCCCACTGGGGACCAGAGACCCAAGTCCCAGCTCTGGCCCTTCCGGATTGGCCAGCACCTCGCCCCTCCCGCCCAGCTGAGCTGCCGGTTCCTTGCATGTAGGTTTGTTATTTTTCCGGTGTGCTCGGGAAACCCTGGCTTTGTGGTGGGGGACGGAACCAGGGTCGGCCACGTGCCGGGCGAGCAAACACCTTACCCCCGTACATCTCTCGGGCCCCTACACAGTTCTCCCGGGACAGGGTTCCCAGGGGACCATCCCCCCCCAGCATCTCCAAGACCGAAGGACCACCCCCCACCCCAGCATCTCCAAGGTGTCCCCGGTTGCAATAATCAAAACAGATCAGATGACCCAAAGTGAAATTCACAGACAAGAAATACTTTAATTAAATATTGTGTAAAATGAACATTTTTATACAGTTAAATATCTGAAAAAATGTACAGATAAAACAATCTTATTGTAGGGTCTTTAACAGTAAAATCTACCATTTAGTGAAGTGCCCAGTTTCGAGACAATGAAGCCATGGGGCGTCGACTAATCTAGAACACAGACCAAGTGCAGGGAGGAGGAGATCGCGAACATCTTACACGGACACGGGAGCTTGTCTCTCGAGCAAACCCTGACTTGGACAAAAGAAAAAAGGCGGCGATTGAGTCCCAACGGGAGTCCTCCAGCTTTCCCACGTAGCTGAGTCTGGCCGGCCGCAGCGTCCCTGCCTCGGCCCGGGATGGGCACCTGGCTGCGCGTGCATCGCTCTGTCGGAGTTCTGCGAGGTCCCTCCTTTCCGGCGTGGGTCCTGCCGCCGAGTCGGAGCGCCCAGCGGGCGAGGCCTCGGTGGGTTTGGCACGGAGCGGGCACGGCCCCGGCGGGCACTCCGGTCTGGAGAGGACAGTGGTGCTGGGACTGACCCCACAGAACAGATTTCTGGGAACGTTGTACCAACGGGCGGCGGCTGGGTGTCCCCTGCACCTCGGTGCCGCGGAGGCAGGACGGAGCGACCGAGGCGGCGACACCGGGTTTGTGCTTGTGTGTGTGTGTGTGTGTGTTACACCGGAACATCTCCAAGTGGAATCTCGACTCACGGCTGTGGCGCGACCCGGGGGTCGGAGCACAGAGTCCTCTAAGAAGTCGTCCCCGTTTAAGGCATCAGAGAAGTTAATGTGGCAAACGTCTTAATTAAAACATCAGAAGGAAATTTTATTTTAAACTTTAGGCCTCTGAATTTTTCCAGTAAACACAGTTCAGCTATGTGGCAAAGTCATGGGTGGCAGCTAAGATGACTTTTTACATTCTACAAAAAAGGAGGAAAATGGAACAAGGACAGGAGCGCGTGCGCGGCCCCACGGAGCGCGGCCGCCAGTGGCATCGCGGCCCGTGCACTGGACAACCCACTTTTCCCCCCCGAAAGTTATTTGTTCAGATAACTTAAAAATAATATAAAAATAAACAATGAATTTGACTTTTCCTCAAAATAAAAAAAAAGAAAAGAAAAAATGGAAAGTCGAAACCATAGCGGATATTCGAAAGTACCGCTGCAGCGCAAGGACACTGGGTCGTCGGAAGGGAGCACGTCAGAGACAGGTCTTGGCTTCACAACACAGGCCAGGGTCCACACCGGCACGGACGAGGAAGAGAAAGCAATGTACAAAATCCCAAAGATAAATACAATATTTATAATCGATATGTTACAAAATAAAGTCCCTTAGCCACTGTAAGTGTTCATGGAGAAATGAGTGCTGAGTGGAGACCATTTCACTCCTTGTAAGAAGACACATAAGGAGGAAAACTCTGTGTGTGTGCGTGTGTGCGCGCGTGTGTGTTTTCTAAATAGTTAAGTGGATCTGAAAAAAATTCAAGACAAGTGTATAAATATTTAGCTACAACTTTGGCAAAATCACAAAAGTCTACAATTTTATAACCACATACAAAACACATCAGGGAAGAAGGAGCTAGAAGTCAAAAGGACAATTTCTGGTACAAGAAACATGGACCTCACAGTAGCCTAAGAATGCAATAGTTTACAGTGCTAGCAAAAGTGGAAAAATGTTGCAGATCACACTTGGTCACAGGAAGCTCTAGCGGCGGGCGGGAGAATATTTTTACCAACAGACAGTAGCATTTTTCTTTTCTCTGTCAGTGTGCTTGTTGAAGGCAAGAGAATTCAATATCAAAGTTACAATTTCTAACTACAATAAGTTACAAAGTTTCATTTCCTTAAGATGAAGTTAAGAATGACCAACCCTCCCCCCTCCCTGTCGCCCCAAACTCTCCTAGCCAGATAGACACCTTCCTCCGGTCCGATGGCTCGGACCCCCTGGCCCCTTTCCACCACAAAAAAATATTTCACATTATAGAGATACACAACCATTGTGAATCTAAGGATGAGCACAGAAAAAATGGAGGCTTTCCCCTCAGTGTTTCATGATCATCAAAATGTGCATTCACAAAGTCTCCCCTGCGCCAGGCCGCGGGGGGCCCGGAGGGGGTCGGGACGGGTACAAAATAGACGTCGCTTTGTTCTCCTTGTTCTCCGGGACTGAGAAACGGGAGCGAGTGAGCAAGTTCAGTCAGGAAAATGGAATTGTTCGTGAAGAAGCTGGCTGCTTGCAGGGTGACTCTGGACCGTTCAAATAAACTCTTTCAACAAAGTCTTGGGGACCGCGTCAGCCAACGTCCCGGATGCCGCGTCTCCGCCGGCAAGCCTCAGAGACCCGACGGTGTCCCCGGGAGCCCGTCCTCGGGTGCTGGGTGCTGTGGGCGGCGCCCGCCGGCCCCTCACATCGGCGGGACTACCAGCCCAGACATAGCTGGAAGAGAGAGAGAAGCGCCGTCACGGGGGCCCGGCACCCGCCTCCGGGCGGCTCTGCCCAGCTGCCCTCTGCACGGCGCCCGGCCGCGGGGGCCCTGTCTGGGTCGGGGCGTGCAGGGTCACCCCCCAAGCTCCATTCATGCTGCGGCCTGGCCCGAAGGCCTGCTGGGCGGGGGGGCAGGCTGCTGCGGCCACTCTCAGTGCACGGGGCAGCCGCACCCGCCTTCGTGGACAGGCGGAAGTGGACACACCTCACGCCCCGGGGCCCCCTCGCCTTCTACGGGCGGTTCCGCATCGTAATGGTGAGTCTCAGCTGCTCCAAGGTCAAAGCCCAGTGGCCCCTGCGCTGGGGTCTCTCGGCCAAGGGCCCCCAAAGAGACAAGGCCCCGAGCCCCGCCTCCAGGACCCGTTTTCTCAGAGGGACGAGAAAACTGGCCCTCTGGGCACCGGCCCCGGGGCCAGGCGCGGTTGCCAATCGTTCCACTTTGGTGGTGGTTAGCGTTGGCCGGAAGTGGCCTCCCGTTAATTTATGCACGAGCTGCTCATGCGTCCGCCTGCCTCTGCCTGCGCTTCAATCGCTCGGCCCATTAATTTCCGCAATATTAATCGATCTCCGACTCACCGTTACAACTTTATGGTCAGGGAGGCCTGCGCACGCAGGGCTGACGTGGGGCCAGCTCCCCACCGGCCACGGCACAGAGTGGACGGCCCCGGGCACCTGGCCACCCACTGCTAGCCATCCTGGCCTGGGGGAGGGGGCTGGCGGCCATCCTACGCTACCAGGTGTGGTGAAGACAATTATTTCAAATCACGGATACCTTTCCAGTTCCTTTTTTGAGCATTAGTTCATCAAAGTGAAATATGCCACCGACTTCACAAAAGGGCCAGTTTGTCTTCTCCACGGTAACGTCCTCAGCACCCAGCAGAGAGCCTGGCACATAGTAGGCGCTCAGTAAATACTGGTTCAATGGATTCATCGTTTCAAGGAGCAGCTGGCTACGGCGTCACCAGGAGGCGCGTCAACCACGGGGCCGGTGACGGCCACTGAACTCCAGTGCCTGTGGCCTCACCACGCCCAGAGACGCGCTCACAAGACGGGGGACACTCACGTGGTTTCGCCTGCGTCCCTAGCCCAGGGCCCGGCCGGGGGGACCCAGCCTGTCCCCCAGGCGAGGCCTCAGCTGTGGGCCGCGTCCGGTGGCGCCTCCCACTGCCCAGGGCCGGCCCTGCTGCCTCGGCAGCCGGCGGAAGCGATTCCCGGGCACGGCCGGCTCCCAGTGGCCATGGGGGCAGACCCGTCCTACGTGCCCCGGGCACTCCCGCTCTGCTCGGGGGCCGCGGCTCGTGGGTGAGAGCAGACCCTGTGCGAGCCCCCGCCTCTGCCGCTGCCGGGCCCTCCCCGCCTGGGCTGGTTTGCATCGGGGGGCCACGGGGAAGGACCTGGCGCTGCTGCCACTGTGGCTGCGGACGCGTGGGGCAGGACGCCCAGTTCCGACCCAAGGGCAGTCAGCAGGCCACGCCGGCCCGGGTGGCGGGGGCGGGGCCAGCCCAGAGGAGGGGTGTGCGGCGCCCCCCGCCCCGCCCGGCCCGGGCCCCCCCTCACCTTGGAGTCCGTTCCCGTTGGCGCTGGTGCAGGAGGGAGGAGGAGAGGCTTGGGGCCGGACCACGGGCGCGAAGGCGCTCTTTTGTTTCACTGCGGAGATGACATTGGCAGGTGAGAATGAGAAAATGCCGTGTGTACCGCTACAGTTTGAAGGGAGGGTGACCGAAGAGGCTGCCATGGTGGGGCTGGACGGCACTACTGCAACAAAGCAAAGACGGTGAGATGCGGGCGGGCGGCGGAGCACAGGACACAGAGTGGGGCGGCCCCTCCTGCGGCCGGGCGACCGCGCGACACGTCCCCGCGGGCCGCCCCGGGAGCAGGCGCCCGCCAGCGAGCGTGGCTCGGGCTCTCCCGCGGGGCGGCCCCGCCTGGTTCCGGTTCCGCTGGGGGTTCCAGTGGGCCCACGGGGCGGGGGAGCGGGGGCGGGGCCGCGGGGGGGCGAGTTACTGCGGCCACGCGGCCGCCCAGCCTCCGGGAGCTCACACCACAGCACACCCACGCCACGCACACACTGGACTCTGCGGTGGAAATGAATCCGCGTGATGACGCGCGCCGAGATCAGACACTTACTGCCGTAGGGAGAGTTAGCAGAGGAGCCATTAAGAAATCCTGGCGAGCCCGGGACCCCTAGATTGGCCATGGCGCCA